TTAGTGCAGACAATTGAAAGTTGTTGCGGTGCAAAGTTCCTCATCAGTCTTTTATGAAAATAAGGCTGCGAGGGATGGGTCTCTATTTACATGATTTTTCACAACACGGAGCTTTACTCCGCGTTCATATTGCGGTCTCTGACTTGCATCGTTGTCAAGTGTGAGCAGTTTGATTATTCTGAAACTCATGAGACTCCATTTAATGTCATTGCTGTGTGTGTGTGGGAGAAAACACTGAGACATTAAAGAGGGCTTGAGAGAATGTAAAGCCTCTGCACACCACATACACAAAACCCACTTGAACATAAACGGAGATACCGTCGTGATGTTGTTATCGTCCTGTTGCCATGACACCCAGCACTGTGGCCTGAGGCGAATCCTGTCCTCCATAGACCTGTTCCTCACACACACTGATCCATCTCTCCATCACTGCAGGATCTCAGAGGAGGATGAAAGCTGTACAGTGGGTGGTGTGTGAAATCTCCTGTCAAACGTCTCACTCATTCCACCAGATAACAGCGCATTCACTCCAAACGCTGCGAATGCAACATTAAAGTCAAGAAATTCATCATTTTAACTATAATATGAGTGAAAAAAATATGTGAAGTATATGTATTTATAACACACAGAATTGCAATTGTTAATTAAAACATATCATTTTGGTCATTACAATATAAAATAATAATAATAGGCTACAATATAAAATAATTATTAAATATATATTACATAAAAGCATAAATTATATATTATTAAAAAATATATATAATAATTATTTTATATTATTATATTGTGATATATATATATATATATATATATAGCCTATATATCGTGGCTTGTATGTAATTTTTAATGTAATATATATAAAATATATATGACCTAATTATATTAATTATATTTTATTAAAAATGTATACATATAATTATTTTATATTGTATATTATATATATAATAAAATATAAAATAATAAGCTTATTATTATATGTATTAATTATATATATATATAATTTGTATTCGTTTGTCTATATAGACAATATAAAATATTATTTAAAAACATTATTGTATATACATATTTATATATCGTATATACATTTTTAATTATATATTATATAAACGAATTAATTAATTTATTAAACATGTTAATTTGGCAACTAACTGAAATAAAATAAGCTATAGTTGAAGAACTAAAATGACTAAAACTGACATAAAAATAAACTGAAGCTTAATAGAAATATTTAAAAAAGCACATAAAATAACTAAAACCCAAAACAAAATTTAAATGAAAACTGAAAATATTAAAATAAAAGTACTACAATAAAATAACAAAAATATTTGATTCTTAATTCTGATTGGTTGACAGACTCTTCAATGCGATTCATTAAAGAGTTAGTTCACCCAAAATGAATATTCTGTCAGTCATTACTCTCCCTCATGTTGTTTAACCCCGTAAGACTTTCGTTCATCTTCAGAACACAAATTAAGATATTTTTGATTAAATCTGAGAGCTGGATCACTCCTCCATAGGCTTCTTAAGGGATTGAAACTGGCCGGCCCAGAAAAGTTATTAAAGACATCGTTAAAATAGTCCAAGTGACTATTTTTGTTTGTTTTTTTGTGCACAAAAAGTATTCTCGTCGCTTGATAAACTTAAGGTTGACCCACTGTAGTCACTCGGACTATTTTAACAATGTCTTTCATAACTTTTCTGGGCCGGCCAGTTTCGATCCCTTAAGAAGCCTATGGATGAGTGAGACAGCTCTCAGATTTAATCAAAAATATCTTAATTTGTGTTCTGAAGATGAACGAAAGTCTTACGGGGTTGAACAACATGAGGGAGAGTAATGACCGATAGAGTTTTCATTTTGGGGTGAACTAACCCTTTAACTGTTAGATTGGGTTACTGAAGGTTCACTGACCACGTTCAAAGTCGTTCAGCTCCATCTTCTGGGAAAATCTCAGAGACATGCGATGTTTCTGAGATTTTCCCATTCAAGTAGATGGAGCTGAACGACTTTGAACGTGGTCAGTGAACTCAGGAATAACAATATATACTCATATATCGTGCATCTTTAGCTCAAATCACAGGCTTTCTCAGATAATGATGGCTCCAGACAAACTCAAACCTGCGTCCACTTCTGTGAATAAGATGTTTTTATTGTTGTGTTGAATGAAACCGTATTCACAATCCATTTACCATGTGGGAGAGGGTAAATGTTCACTTAAAAAAATATAAGATCAATGATGAAAGTTAAAAAGGCAAACCCTTAGTTCACATGGCAAGGCAGAGTCACCCATAACTGATCGTCCAGGGCCGTTGAGTGTGTGTGTGTGTGTGTGTGCATCTATTCCGCTTGTTTAGTCTCATCTGCTGTAATATTCACAAATAATGATGTTTTAGCCATGCATATGACCGCTAAATCAACCGCTAAGTTTGGCATCTTTTTTATAAACTACACACAACCATCTTGAATTGGTTTCAATCAATTTTTTTCTTTTCTTTTTTTTTTTTACACATTTTTACATTTCTGGATGATCTTACGGATCACAGACGTGATGGTCTGAATAAGAATTGCTCTGTAATACCAAAAAAAGACCAAACAACAATATAGATTAAGAAAACATTATCATCTTATACTATAATGATTAAATAAACAGAAATAAAATGAAAAAAAAAAACATATCCTCATAAATTTTAATAACAGATTTGGTAGCCTGTAACTCTCCTGAGAAAGGTATGATAAAATGATTTTTCTATTATTATTGTTATTATTCCTGTCATATTTGCTCAAAGCAGATGAATCGAGGAACTGATAATGAAGTTAGCCACTATAATTGTTTTCCTCCTTGTGTTTCTGTACAACATTCATGAGGTTGACTGCATTATGATTATTCCTTTTCCACAATATCATTAAATTAACAATCACATCTAGTACAGGGTTCCAGATTAATGGCTACTTTCCACAAATAGGGTTAAAAACAGACCTTGAAATCGTGTTCGTCCACCTCAGGAGGTCAAATATTACATATTTAATAACTAGAATACATTTAATTAAATGTAAAATACATTTTAAATGTAGAAAAAGTGACCTATTTTTAAATAATATCCCCCCGCATTTAACCGAATATCATTATCAATATGATTATTTTTAACTGCTGACTATGAAGGCCAAAATCACCATTTTAAAACGAGTCACTTGATTTGTAAGTTACATAACTGTTTATCTAACATATCAACTAGTTGTTTGTCTTTATTGCTTAAAAAAAGTACCAGGACCCTTTTCATGGAAAGTGCCGATTGCGTTTCACGAAATACTGTTCCTGCCTGATTCAAAGCTTTACAGTCTAATCTAAAGCAAGTCCCATGATTGTTTTACTACATTATTACAAAATACATAATTCAGAATTTGCAACATTCTATATCGAGGTGCTAATTGAAAAACCACAACATAATCAGCTGAATATTCCCAGCAGTTTCGTAAATCAAAATAGACACGAAGGTACAAAAGAAAAGTGCTTCTCAGGATCCTATTTGGCTTCCTCAAAGAAAATGTCCCTCAAACACTCAAACTGCAACGGGACACACGTCGACATCTCAATATCTCAAACCCAGACGTCTGATAGTCCCTCGGAGGAAACGTCCCCTTCGCCGACGACTGTGGGCCGTTTGGAAGAACACAACTAGCTCTTTCTGGCTCTTTATTAAAGTAATGGCAGTTTAAGACATCGGGTTCTCTATGTGCAAACGAAATGAGTCTCTTACGAACAGCGTCAAATTTTGAATGAACGTGTTGAAAACATGCGGAGAAAAGAAAGACTCAAGTTTGGTGCATTTGTAGTTTCTTGTCAATGAATTGATCGTAATTAAGGCGTTTACACACTGAAGAAAGCTGCGTTTGCAGGAAACATGGGTTCATACGCGGGAAAACTGCACAACTGAACCAACACAGTCTCATGAAATGCGTATCTATACCACGGAATTTATTTCTCGTGCCATTTATACGCCAAAAATGTATTTTTTTTTTTTTTTTTTTTTTTGCGTGCATATGCTACGCACTGAAAACCCCTTGGGTAGGATTATGAATAGTTTCAAAAACTAGTTTTGCCGTTTAAATGGCACGAGAAATAACACTTACACGAGATCGGGCTCACTGAACCCGCCTCACTTGAGATCCCGACGGATGCGGAAAAATGTGTTTTCTCAACTTTTATTTGCAGAATTGTCGCAAACAAGGTTTGCATTTTTCATCTAGGTCTTTGCAAAGAAGCATTACAATCAACGGATCTGATGAAGCATTGCCTAAAAGATACATTTCTCAATATTTGTTTGCGTTTTTCATCTACGTCATTGCAAAGCATCATTCCAATTCAAATCAATGGATTTGCAGCTAAAATTCTCGACATTTCTTTGCAAACCCTTGCGTGTTTTTTTTTTTTTTTTTTTTTTTTTTTTGTGCAATGCACCATTCCCATTGAAATCAATATAGGCTATCTGAGGCTTTGTCTAATAGTCCAATTTCTCAAAGTTTGTTTGCACAGCTTTCGCAAACCCTCATGTATTTCATCTACGCCTTCGCGAAGCATCATTCCAATTCAAATCAATGGATTTGCAGCATTTCCCAAAAGTTACAATTCTCGACTTTTGTTTGCACAGCTTTCGCAAACTCTTGGGTATTTGTTTTTTGTTTTTTTGCAATGCACCATTCCCATTGAAATCAAAAATCTGAATCTTTGCCTAAAAGTTAAATTTATCTAAACTTTAGTTCGAACACCCCAACAATAGCCTACTTTACGTTTTTTCATCTACGTCAATGCAATGCACCATTCCTGTTGAAATCGATGTATTTACAGCATTGCTTAAAGTTGCGTTTCTCAACTTTTGTTTGCACGCTGCAACATCACTTTAGCAAACTCTTGCGTCTTTGCATCGCACCGTTCCCATGTAAATCAACAGATCGGCAGCGTTCTCGAGTGTGTAGACGGCCTTGACGTGTGCATGAGAACGGATGCACCAGTTTTCGATGATCTCCATGTGGATCCTGATTGCGAGGGTTATTGTATATTGCAGGAGGAACAGCACGGGTCTTCTTTATCCGGCTGCGAGGCGTAGTCCATCTGCCTCACGATCTCCGAGAACAGTTCGTCCACCATGGTTTTGCTCTTGGCTGATGTCTCCATGAACGGACAGCCCCATTCCTCCGCCAGAGCCTGACCCTCGCTCGACGAAACCTCGCGCTCGTTGTCCAGGTCCACCTTGTTTCCCACGAGAATCACGGGCACTCGCTCATACCTGTGAATGCACATGACACGATAATGAGAGAACGATTCAACACCACATGGTGTGGCATTTCAGCACTAAGTGCAATAACAGTTTTCAAACAGGTTTCCCTGATAGCCCTACTGCACCTTTTGCTCTCGTCTGCCATTGGTCAGGCAAACGGATAGTCCCGCCCCCAAACTCATGTCATTGGTTGGAACAGTGTTGGAACTCATTCATTCTAATGACTGACTTATTGTAAACATTAAACTGGAATATGAATTTTTTCCCCACTATTTTTCCATCGATCAATGTTTACTTTAACTTTAACCAAACTTCTCCAAAATGGGGTCAAATAATCTTCAGACCAAGTGCGACAACTACTGGTCAAAAGTTATAGTTATAACATTGAATTACTCATAATAATTGAACTAGAAATACAATGACCAAACAAATCTTCCCAACCTGTGCATGCAATTAATGTAGGCCTACTTGTAAACATAATTAATGCTTGCAGCTAAATATATTTTTTTAAATAAATATTTACTCAGGGACTATGGTTGCTCTTAAACTGAGCTTTAAGCTAAAGCAGTTACAGTATATATATTGTGAATCGTCCCTAAACACATACATAACACTTTCCAACAATGTTTTTATAAAAAAAAAAAAAAAAAAAATTCAACCACAATAATCATCATTGGTAAAATGCACCAATATCGAATGAATAATTTGCTCCAGGTGAACCTGTTCAATGTGTTTTCTTTCCCAAGATTGATGTGAGTTAATACGAGAGCGCTTCACTCCAGTTATTGAGCCATCCGATACCTGAGGTCAAAATCATTAAAGATGATGCTAATGTATTTATCTTCTTTGCAATGGCACACTAGCCGTGTGTGAGTGTGTGTGTGTGTGTGTGTGTGTCGCTGATCCTGGACTGACGCTGTGAATCATCCCCTCCACAGACTCTGAGTCAGAGCTATTGATCTGTCAGACCCTGCAGCTGAAAAACGAGTGTCTTTAGAGAAGTGTGTGTCCAGGGGTGTGTTGGGCTCCTCAGACCAGCTGAGTCATGAAACACATTCCCAGTGTTTAACACAGAGAGCGGAGGAGTGTGTGCTTCAGATCAGCTCCAGATAAAGGAAGAGTGATGATGAGTGAAGATCTCAGAACATCACTGCTCTTTCTCATCGTTTAGGAATCAGGACTCTTACATGGATAGTTTGATCTTCGAACCAAGTATCAAAAAAATAAGTATATTTATCAAGTATTAAGTTTTAAGACAGAAGACGAAATATTGGCCGTACTGCCGCTCAAAAAGTTGGGCTCAGTATTAAAATGATCACATTAAAGACATTTATAATGTTGCAAAAGATTCTATTTCAAATAAACTTTCTATTCATCAAAGAATCCTGAAAAAAGTAAATGTATCACAGTTTCTATTAAAACATGAAGCAGCACAACTGTTTTCAACATTATAATAATCAGAAATGCAGCAAATCAGCATATTAGAATGATTTCTGAAGGATCATGATGCTGAAAATTCAGCTTTTATACAGGAATTAAAAAAATCAAATAGAAAGCAGTTAATCGAAATTGTAAAAATATTTCTAAATTTTTACTGTATTTCTTTTATCAAATAAACGCAGCCTTGGTGAGCAGAAGAGATTTCTTTCAAAAACATTTTAAAAACTACTGACCCCAAACTTTGAATGGTAGTGTATATATACAGTATATATGATTTGCTGTGCATTGATTGCACTATGTAAATACTCTGATTGCACTATGTTAATACTCTGATTGCACTATATGTTAATACTCTGATTGCACTATATGTTAATACTCTGATTGCACTATATGTTAATACTCTGATTGCACTATGTTAATACTCTGATTGCACTATGTTAATACTCTGATTGCATTGTTAATACTCTGATTGCACTATGTTAATACTTTGATTGCACTATGTTAATACTCTGATTGCACTATGTTAATACTCTGATTGCACTATGTTAATACTCTGATTGCACTATGTTAATACTTTGATTGCACTATGTTAATACTCTGATTGCACTATGTTAATACTTTGATTGCACTATGTTAATACTCTGATTGCACTATGTTAATACTTTGATTGCACTATGTTAATACTCTGATTGCACTATGTTAATACTCTGATTGCACTATGTTAATACTCTGATTGCACTATGTTAATACTCTGATTGCACTATGTAAATACTCTGATTGCACTATGTTAATACTCTGATTGCACTATGTTAATACTCTGATTGCACTATGTTAATACTCTGATTGCACTATGTTAATACTCTGATTGCACTGTTAATACTCTGATTGCATTGTTAATACTCTGATTGCACTATGTTAATACTTTGATTGCACTATGTTAATACTCTGATTGCACTATGTTAATACTCTGATTGCACTATGTTAATACTCTGATTGCACTATGTTAATACTCTGATTGCACTATGTTAATACTCTGATTGCACTATGTTAATACTCTGATTGCACTATGTTAACACTCTGATTGCACTATGTAAATACTCTGATTGCACTATGTTAATACTCTGATTGCACTATGTTAATACTCTGATTGCACTATGTTAATACTCTGATTGCACTATGTTAATACTCTGATTGCACTGTTAATACTCTGATTGCATTGTTAATACTCTGATTGCACTATGTTAATACTCTGATTGCACTATGTTAATACTCTGATTGCACTGTTAATACTCTGATTGCATTGTTAATACTCTGATTGCACTATGTTAATACTCTGATTGCACTATGTTAATACTCTGATTGCACTATGTTAATACTCTGATTGCACTATGTAAATACTCTGATTGCACTATGTTAATACTCTGATTGCACTATGTTAATACTCTGATTGCACTATGTTAATACTCTGATTGCACTATGTTAATACTCTGATTGCACTGTTAATACTCTGATTGCATTGTTAATACTCTGATTGCACTATGTTAATACTTTGATTGCACTATGTTAATACTCTGATTGCACTATGTTAATACTCTGATTGCACTATGTTAATACTCTGATTGCACTATGTTAATACTCTGATTGCACTATGTTAATACTCTGATTGCACTATGTTAATACTTTGATTTCACTATGTTAATACTCTGATTGCACTATGTTAATACTCTGATTGCACTATGTTAATACTCTGATTGCACTATGTTAATACTCTGATTGCACTATGTTAATACTCTGATTGCACTATGTTAATACTCTGATTGCACTATGTTAATACTTTGATTGCACTATGTTAATACTCTGATTGCACTATGTTAATACTTTGATTGCACTATGTTAATACTCTGATTGCACTACGTAAATACTTTGATTGCACTATGTAAATACTCTGATTGCACTATGTTAATACTCTGATTGCACTATGTTAATACTCTGATTGCACTATGTTAATACTTTGATTGCACTATGTAAATACTCTGATTGCACTATGTTAATACTTTGATTGCACTATGTAAATACTCTGATTGTAATCAAAGTATTAACTTTGACTATGTAAATACTCTGTTAATACTATGTTAATACTCTGATTGCACTATATGTTAATACTCTGATTGCACTATGTTAATACTCTGATTGCACTATATGTTAATACTCTGATTGCACTATGTAAATACTCTGATTGCACTATGTTAATACTCTGATTGCACTATGTTAATACTCTGATTGCACTATGTTAATACTTTGATTGCACTATGTTAATACTCTGATAGCACTATGTTTATACTTTGATTGCACTATGGTAATACTTTGATTGCACTATGGTAATACTTTGATTGCACTATGTTAATACTTTGATTGCACTATGTTAATACTTTGATTGCACTATGTTAATACTCTGATTGCACTATGTTAATACTCTGATTGCACTATGTTAATACTTTGATTGCACTATGTTAATACTCTGATTGCACTATGTTAATACTCTGATTGCACTATGTTAATACTCTGATTGCACTATGTTAATACTCTGATTGCACTATGTAAATACTCTGATTGCACTATGTTAATACTCTGATTGCACTATGTTAATACTTTGATTGCACTATGTTAATACTCTGATTGCACTATGTTAATACTTTGATTGCATTTGCACTATGTTAATACTTTGATTGCACTATGTTAATACTCTGATTGCACTATGTTAATATTTTGATTGCACTATGTTAATACTCTGATTGCACTATGTAAATACTCTGATTGCACTATGTTAAAACTCTGATTGCACTCTGATTGCACTATGTTAATACTCTGATTGCACTATGTTAATACTCTGATTGCACTATGTTAATACTTTGATTGCACTATGTTAATACTCTTTGATTGCACTATGTTAACACTGATTGCACTATGTTAATACTCTGATTGCACTATGTTAATACTCTGATTGCACTATGTTAATACTCTGATTGCACTATGTTAATACTTTGATTGCACTATGTTAATACTCTGATTGCACTATGTTAATACTCTGTTTGCACTATGTTAATACTTTGATTGCACTATGTTAATACTCTGATTGCACTATGTTAATACTCTGATTGCACTATGTTAATACTCTGATTGCACTATGTTAATACTCTGATTGCACTATGTAAATACTCTGATTGCACTATGTTAATACTCTGATTGCACTATGTTAATACTTTGATTGCACTATGTTAATACTCTGATTGCACTATGTTAATACTTTGATTGCATTTGCACTATGTTAATACTTTGATTGCACTATGTTAATACTCTGATTGCACTATGTTAATATTTTGATTGCACTATGTTAATACTCTGATTGCACTATGTAAATACTCTGATTGCACTATGTTAAAACTCTGATTGCACTCTGATTGCACTATGTTAATACTCTGATTGCACTATGTTAATACTCTGATTGCACTATGTTAATACTTTGATTGCACTATGTTAATACTCTTTGATTGCACTATGTTAACACTCTG